CGCTTGTTGAATATTTTATTAGAATTGAAGAACATTATATTAAACTTAAGTTTGATGGTTATGTAAGTGGAGTTAGATTTGATTGTTAAGTTGAATTTTTATAAATATTATTTGAATTTTAATTGTAGTTTGGTGATTTGAATATTCTTGGTTGTTTGGTATTCTTCATTTCTAGTATTTGTTGTTGTTTGATGCTGTGGATTCCTGGGCTAGAGTAGGTTGCTATGGATGTTCTGTGAAATTGAAAAAATGGCAGCGTTCTGTATTCGTGCTGTAAAATTGGCGACGGATTTGGCGATGGAATATCATTTCCGTCGCTGTATGGTCAAAATGCAGAAACGGTAGCTAAAACTGTCGTTAATCTTAGCGACGGAAATTTTCCGTCGTTAATTCCGTCGCCTCATTCCGTCGCTAATTTCGTCGTAGCCTAGCGACGCATTAAATAATCCGTCGTTAAACTTATTACTAACGAAAAAATAACGACGGAATACAAACCGTCGTTGTTTCCGTCGCTAGGCCGATTCCCTACGGAAATCAAGCTTTAGCAACGGAATAATTCCGTCGCGATTTCAGCAGTTTTTTGTAGTGAAGGAACAGGTTTCACAAAAACTCAGTCAATATGCTCAGCAAAAGTATTTCAAAACCAGGTCCAACTTATTTCTCCAAGGTAATGCATCAAATAGAGGCGGGTGAAATGTTAATCTTACCATAATCAGCTCCAAAAAAACAGCAGTGAAAACCACCCTACATGATGCCCAATGCCAGAGTCAAACTTCCATTACAAAATCAGCCCAAATAGCATCCCCAACACTGCCATTTCAACTCCATTTCAAGCCCGAATGCACAGCAAATAAAATTAGCCACTGTAGCAGCACGGGTTGACCTCAAAAACAAGTATCATTCAAACATCAAAATTGTGGAGGAGGAAATCTCTACAAGCAAGTAAAAGGCTCAGCAAAATATAGTTCCAAAAATACAGTTAAAACAGTCCAAAATAAATTTTGCAGCTCCGCACCTCCAGCAACCGTAAATTCAAAGCAAAAGTAAAGAGTTTGTTTAATTAACATTTGAATAGCAGCGTCAAGAGAACCTTCAAGAACGACCATAATCCACAAAAAAAAATTCAAAAACCAATAAGGAACATGGTTCAAAACATATGGCAAAATCTCGTTGTGTACACTAGCTTGTTTTTCAAAACTCCTCAAATCGCAGGTAATTCAAATGGAATTGAAATCCAAGTAAATACCTTGGATTAGGAAGCCATTTTGCTCAGAATCCTAGAAGGATGTTCTTCAATTTTGCTTTAGACAACAAGAATCCCATCGTTCGATCAAAGGGTTGGCCGGCCGCATCCTTGCTCTGTTGCTCGGCGTCCTCGTCGTGGATGTTCGTCGGTCTGGTGGTGTCGCTGGCTGGCGCTATTCTCAGCCTTCTTGCCGTCGGGAGGTAGCTCGAAGAAGAAGACAGAAGAAGAGAGGCGGCGGCGGGCAGTGTTCGATCTAGAACAAGAGACGCGAATTTCCTGTTGTATGTGCTAGTGTTTTGTACTTGTAATTTAAAATAGGGCAATGCTAGAGGTACACCAACATGGGTACCCCAAGTGTACACCAAGCCAACACAGACACACACAGACACAAAATGTCTGTGCAACACAGATACTTTGTGTCTGTGCAACACAGACACTTTGTGTCTGTGTGTGTCTGTGTTGGCTTTGGTGTACACTTGGGGTACCCCATGTTGGTGTACCTCTAGCTTAATTCTTTAAAATAATGTGTCTGAGTAAAACACACTTTCCGGGCTAACATCCTACGAATTAAAATCTGTTTGCATCGTTAGATTCGATTAGTCGATTCTTACCCAAGGATATAACTTTTATATTAAATGAACAAGAATTTACAAGTTCCACCAGGTCCGTCTTGATTCATTCGGTTAATTAACACTGATCAGTCTTTTAATTTAAATATTTACAAATACAATTTGATTAGTCTCGTTTTGTTGAGACAATTAGAATCTCTAAGGTATCTTTTAATCCTTAAAATGAATAGATTGTCGTAAATAGATAATTCTTATTTATTTAATTATTGATTAACTTCTAGGTCAGTTTCTAGGGCGTTACATCGTAGGTGTTGATTAACTCTCATACGATGTCAAAAATATTTCATCTTTTAAATAATTTTCTTTACAAATTTGTATTATAAATAAAAATACAAATTGTAGTGCGCCAAGTGCTTTCCAGTGCTGAGGGATACAACCTCTTTCCAGTGCTTTCCAGTGCTTTGTCCACCACTCTTTCTGCTAGTATTTTGGTTACTCTCGATTCAATTGTAGTGCTCAGGATACAAAGGATACAACCCCTGCCAGCTTGTATTCCTAAATCAGGTTTATGAATTTTAATTTTTGGAGCTTCTCTTAGTTCGATTGTATTTGTACTGCAAGAATTCATCATCTATACCCTCACAATTATCCTTTTTAGGTTTTCTGCTATTAATTGAACCACCAAGTGTCACTTCCACCCTAAATGTCTTTTGTTCTTCCAATTCAGCCTTGACCATATACACTGGAACTCCTAATCATTTTCCCTTTTCAATGGGAATACAAGAAGTTCTTATCTACCGTCCCTTGCATAAAAACACTAGATCCGGACCCCATTTCATGGGGGGTTGATTCCAAGCATTGAGAGGAAAGAAACACTACAATAGTCATAACATAGTAATCTCATGCGCTCATGTCTCAACTTTCAAATACTCCTTGAAAAAAAGAGAGAACTGGTTGTACACTACTCAAGAATATTAAAGTGGAAGTGGCATTTGATGGTTCAATTGAGAGGAAAGAAACACTACAGCTGGTTCATTAGGATTTTTTTCATATTAGGGTATTATTTGCAAAGTGAAGTATTTATTGGCTGCATTTATGGATCATTCTTTCTTGTGACAATTAAAGTTTAATAATTGGGGTCGGCATTTACTAAAGTTAGATTTTTCCTACATCCAATATTTTGTGGGATTTTATAGGGTTATGTTGTTGTGTCATGTAAATTTATCAAAATTAATCAAATACCCTGTAGTAATTAATTAATTTCTAAGCTACTTTTTTATTTAATTCAGGGACATATGATGTGAAATGTAAAATGGGAGGTCCCTTTGGCACAATGAAACACCTCGTTGAGCTTAAAACGGAGCAAACAATGGCCTTGACATTGATGTTAGGCTGTTGGATCCACTTAAGGAGCTAGTATGGTTTTGGGAGAGGTTCTCTTCTTTTTTGCACCCAAACAATCCCATTTCTGATAAGCCGAGGTTCGCAAGGTGGGATGATCTTAAGATGGATGCAAAGAGTATAAACTTTGCAGGAGAAGAATATCTGTGGCGGCCATACGCATTGGAGGCCAAAAACTCACTTCTTCTCTACAAGGAGGGAGAAGGACGGTGGGTTTTTGTCACTGGTGGTGGGGATGAAGTGGATGAACTCATTTGCTGTGTGAGGGTGAGTGAGCTGGTGGGGATAGAGGGTGTCATTGAGCATGGGCAATACCTGCCTCACCGTGTGGCTATGCAGTTTGGAATGGATCAGGGTCATCCAGGGTTACTTGGATTGGTTCTCTAAAATTGTTAATGTTCTTGATGATGGTGATAGTTATGATGATGATGATGATGATGATGATGATGTGCCTCTGGTTGAACTTGTAAGGAAGGAGGGAAAAATTGATGAGAATACTCGTCTTCTTGATGATGATGATCATGATCATGATCATGATCATGAGGTTGATGATGGTGTTTCCCTGGCTGAGCTTCTTCGGAAGAGAAGAAAAAAGGATGTTAAAAGCCATATCATTATGCCAAAAACGGTATCAGACGACTATTGATTAACTACTGTGTATGGAAACACAGTAGATAAAAAAACAGACAACTGTGAGTTTTTCTTGGCTACAAAACAATAGTCTAGCTGTGATGCTTTAAAACTGTTTTTTAAAGTTTCGAGAAACGGTAATCTATCAGTAGTTGTCTGTGTCAGTTCAAAATACAGTTTTTGTTACAACAGTTGTCAATAACAAGTTAAGAATACTCTATTTAAACAGTAGTCTGGTGTTTTAGTCTAGAACTGTTTTTAAACTTATTAGAAACAATTATCTATTGCTAGTTGTCTGTTTCATATGGTTTTTTTGCCACCGTTGTTTCTAATGGGAATCGAAGACTCTTTTGTAACACTAGTCTATGAGTTAAGGGTAGAACTATTTTTAAAGTTGTGAGAAACGGTAATCTTTTATTAGTAGTCCGTTTCACCTAAAAATACAGTTTTTGTTGCCATAATTGTCAATAATTAGTTAAGACTACTATTTATAAACACTAGTCTGGTTTTTCGGTTTATAACTATTTTTAAACTTATAAGAAATAGTATTCTATTGTTAGTTGTATGTTTCATATGGTTTTGTTTTGCATAGTTGTTTATTATAAGAATAGAAGACTTCCTTGTAACAAAAATATATTTATATAGCGTAGAACTATTTTTAAACTTCATAGAAATCGTATTCTATTACAAGTTGTTAATAATAAATTAAGAATACCTTTTTAAACAGTAGTTAGACTATTAATCCTAGAACTATTTTCAAAGTTTTGAGAAACCGTAATGTATTACTAGTAGTGTGTGTCACACTGTTTTTTTCACGGTTATCTCACTAGTACATATCAGGGCAAATGCACCGGTTGTTTTGTACCTTTATCATCGCTTTTGTACCGATGCAAATACAAGCGATGCAATTGGTCCAGTTCAATTGCATCGCTTTGAAAACAACCGATGCCTTTGCTATTTCATTAAATTAAAAAATGGAGCATTAGCATTGGTTGTAACCAAACAACCGATGCCTTTGCTATTTTATTAATTAAAAAAAGAGTATTTGCATCGGTTGTTTGGCTACAATTGATGCCTTTGGTTTTATCTTTTTCAATTTTTTTTAAAAAAACGTATTTGCATCAGTTGTTTGGCTACAACCGATGCCTTTGGTCTTTTCATTTCTGTATTTATTTTTAAAAAGTCTATTTGCATCGGTTGTTTGGCTACAACCAGTGCCTTTGGTCTTTTCATTTCCAAATTTTTTTAAAAAAAGTGTATTTGCATCGGTTGTTTGGCTACAACCGATGCCTTTGGTCTTTTCATTTTTGATTTTTGAAATGTATTTGCATCGGTTCTTTACTAACAACCGGTGCCTTTGATATAAGAATTTTTTTTAAATATTTTATCAAAAAGCGCAACAATTTTACACAATGAAGCAACAATACAAAAACTACATATTCATGCAGCACACGGTAGTACATATAAAAGATACAAGTCTCAAACATTGAAGACACTTTAAATTTGATTGTATACATGCACCAAAATGTAAAGACTTAATATACTACACAACTTACAACACAAAATTGTGAACAAGTAACAAAACGGATTAAAAAGTATACCAAATTAAACTAAATTTGTTTGTCACTAGTAGGGGTGAGCAGATCCCAACCTGATACCTAATTAACCTAAATTTGTTTGTAATTTCTAGTACTCCTTACTATCCACACTGCTCGAGTACTTGGTCTTATTCTTCGAAGCTTCATCAGGTCTTCTTGATGCTTAATCTGGTTGTACCTCTTGAGTTCCAAGCTCCTTCTTCAACTTTCAAGTATTAAAGTCCACACAACATATTTCTATGTTTGCAATGTGATTCTCTCTTCCTGCAGGGGATGCCATTTGACAGCTCCCACTTCCATCTTGAGCCTCCCCACTTCATGTTCATGCCCCTGGTAGTATTACACAATTACAATATTGCTGTTAGTGCTTTGTTGTTAGTGATGTCCTGGTGGTAGTTTCATATTTCGCATAGCTTTTTCCCCACTTAGTTGGAATCTCATTGTTTATATTAAAAATACCCGAAACCAAAACCGAAACTGATATCAATTTATTTCAAAACGTATCATACTGAATGAACCTATAATAGCTAGCCCACCACCACAAGAAGATCATCAATGATTTGATTAACACTGTATAATCCCACTTGTGTGATAAAAAAGAATTAAGAAATTCTAAAAACAAGAACTACACAAACAACACCTAAAGCCAGACAAGAAAAAAGACACTTTCATCAACATTGCCCAAAAAGAGACTAAACACAAACCGTAATAATCTTTGTTGGGGTAAAGGTCAATCAATCGACATTTTTCAATATTTACAATCGGTTCAACATAAACATACTAAACCACAAATTCACGCATTCAGCGTATGCTAAAATTAGGGTTTAACCAAACCTGGCTTATTACTTCAGAGACTTAGAGGCAGATTTGCTTTAGCTCCTCCAATTCAGCCTCCCCCAACCGGTCAACGGGTTTCTGAAATACGAAGTGTTTGCTCACCCAATTCAGACGTTCTGCCACACCCAATCGACTGTCGCAGGTGTATGCTACGCCATCATCGTGGAGTCACGGCAGTTCGTCCTATGTCAATGGTGAATGGAGATGGCAAAGGAAATATGAAGAGATCATTAGATAATGTAAAAGGCTATGACAACGGTTATACTACCACACAGATGCCTTTGTTTATTTAAAAAAATCAAAAATTTAATTCTTTAGAAAGCCCAAGGCATCGGTTCTACCGAAACACCGATGCATTTGTTTATTCTTTTGAACGGGTACGAGTCTAGTAAGAACAAAAAAGACAGAGAAAAAAGAGGCTAAGCGTCTAACCTTCTTGGGTATGAACAAAGCAGGAGGTTGAGGGAAGGGGTGGGATGTTCACCAAGACCTGTCAGTCCATCCACCAGAAAGCCACCATCCAACTCCAAAACCTTGGCCAAAGCCGTCAATAAGCATAGAACAGATGACCTGGGAAGACATGAGCATTTACAGTGCACTACCCCTGACCACAAACATCAACACATTGGTTTCCTTCAAGAACACAGCTGCAAGGCCTCACTCAGGCAGTAACTGAGTTCATAGAGCAAGAACACCATTACGAAGGCAAGAACACAGTTCATAATCGTCAAGAACAGCAGGTCATTCCACAAATTTCAATCACTCAAAGAAATCTTGTTAAAACACCATAAACAACCCCTCAAACCTAGCGCAACAACAAAGTTAATCAAAAAAGCAAGCAAAAATTGAAAGAATCGCAGTCCAAATCCAGTACATACGAATCCCAAAAATCCTCAAATCATGAGGGAATTCAAATGAAATTGAAATCAAGCTTTAAAAGAAGAAGGGGAATCGCAAACCGCTCAACATATCACAAGATTAGCCATCAAAAGTTCCCGGATTCAATAGAATCGGAGAGATAAAACTTCGAGTGAACAGTAGCTTCCATGGCGTTGACCTTCGATTCCTCAAAATCAATCAACAAAAATAGCAAATAAAGTTCAGATGTGGAATCACCTGCTGTAGGCGTCCCTGATTTCCAAAAATTTGATGCAAAACAAGCTCAAATTAAAGAATTGTTATTTTCTATTGAGAAATAACGGAGGACGAAGCCTCGTATAAATAGTTACAGAAGATTCCTAATTACAGAAGGGAACCTATACATGTAAACTACCATAAATACAATGATCACATAATTAATATTAAATATATACATAACATATTTAACATGCAACCAACTACGTGACCGGTGAAGGACGGACGCTAAGACTGTGTCTGAAGTCGGAGAAGAGAAGAGACGGAAGCCCTTTAATGAAAATATCTGCATACTGAGAAGAGGAGGGGACATGTAGTACTCTGACATGCTCTAGGGCAACCTTGTCTCTGACAAAGTGGATGTCGACTTCTACGTGTTTGGTGTGCTGATGCTGTACTGGGTTTGATGACAGATACACGGCACTGACGTTATCGCAAAAGACCAATGTGGCACGCCGCAGAGGTTGTTGAAGCTCAAGGAGAAGATTTCGGACCCAGCTGGCCTCAGCTACGGTGTTTGCCACGGCACGATACTCGGCCTCAGCACTGGAGTGGGAGGTGGTGACCTGGCGCTTGGAGGACCATGAGATGAGGTTGTCTCCAAGGAAGACACAATACCCCGAGGTGGAGCGACGAGTGTCGGGGCATCCAGCCCAATCAGCATTGGAGTAGGCCTGCAAGGAATCTGTGCCCGTACGGTGAAGTGTGATGCCATGAGTAGCAGTGCCATGAATGTAGCGTAGGACCCTCTTCATAGCTGTGAGATGGGTGCTGCGGGGGGCATGAAGATGTAGGCAGAGTTGCTGGACTGCATATGTAAGGTCAGGCCGAGTGAAAGTAAGATACTGTAAGGCGCCGACGATGGATCTGTATATGGAGGGGTCCGGAAGTGGAGTTCCGGACGTGGCTGACAGCTTTGCTTTGGTGTAAACTGGCGTGGAGATGGGCTTGCAGTGGAGCATGTCAGCACGTTCCAAGATTTCATGGGCAAACTGTGTCTTGTGAAGAAAGAGGTTGCCGCCAGTGCGCTGAACATTGATCCCAAGAAAAAAATTGAGGTCGCCCATATCTGTCATGGCAAACTCTCCCTTAAGTTTCTGAGTAAGGCGGGCGAGAAGAGCAGTGGAGGAGGCTGTGAGAACTATGTCATCCACATAAAGAAGAAGATAAGTCGTGTCAGAACCATGAGAGTAAACAAAGAGGGACGTGTCACTTTTGCAGCCCCGAAAGCCCAAAGTGAAAAGGAAACCTGCAAACCGGTGATACGAAGAGCGCGGGGCCTGCTTGAGCCCATATAGGGCCTTCTTCAACCTGCAAACATAATGTGGGCGAGCGGGATCCTGAAAACCTACAGGCTGGCAGGCATAGACTGTCTCGTGGAGTGTACCATTCAGAAAAGCATTCTTGACATCTGTTGAAACACGGGCTTGTCACGTTTTCGTACTAAAGCCGTGTTCGTTTTTGTAACAGGTTTTGATAATGCCAAACCGCCGTGATCAAGTCGAACATTGAATATACAAGGCGAAGAACGAAGATAAGAGCAAGAGCAAAACGAAGACCTAGAACGAAGACCTTAGTCATAGTATTGAGTTGGTCTTTATTGTGATCAAGACCGACCCAATCTTTACACCTTGGCTCTTTAGGCTAAAATCTCTCATTGCATTTCTTACATCATAAAAATGTTTTTCAAACTTGTTTAAGTCATTAAAAACACTTGGTGTTCGCCCAAACCAAAAACCAAGCAATCCAGTGTTCGGCTTTTAGAAACCAGCGTTCAGCTTTCGGTTGTCGGCTTTGGTTTTTTTGGCATCCGAACCAACCAAGTGGTTTTCAGCATTTTATGATCTGCTTTCACTCTTTGGCATGTTTAACGGTTCTCCAACAAAAACACTTTGAAAACCATCTCTCGCTTTTAGTCGTTTGACAAAAACAACGCAAAACGGCGTAAACTTGGCTAGCAGTGGTTTTTACTCAAATGACGTGATTTTTAAAGCGTCTCACTTGATTTCTTAGCCAAATACATCAAATAAGTGTTTTAAACACTTGGTTTTTATTTTGGAGAACTTTGGATTTTTCGGTCGGTTTTTGCATCGGTTGGCTAGGCCGTGGTTAAGGCAAAAACCATAGGTTTTTTGCTAACCACCCACCCAGCGATGGGAAGAACATCCCATCGATGGGTAAGCGGCCCCTTAGCCAAACCAACTTCCAGAACCATGCCAAACAGCGATGGGTAGAAGATAAAGCCTTGGTCCAACATTATCACAAGGCAGAATGCCCTTACCCAGCGATGGGAAGCTTTACCCATCGATGGGAACCCAGCGATGGGAAGCTTTACCCATCGATGGGAACCCAGCGATGGGAAGGCTTATCCATCGATGGGAAGGCATGACCGTTGTATGTCATTTAAGGTTGATTCTTTCCATGTTTGGAAGTCAACCTCCCACCCAACGATGGGAAGCATGTACCCATCGATGGGTAGGTGACCGTTGGCTTCAAAACTGAAGGAAAATTGGCCTACCAGCGATGGGTAAGGTCCATACATCGATGGGAAGCCAATATTCTGCAGATCCCAAATCTTTTCAATCCCATAAATCAAGCTAATCACCCCTTTAATGCATTGGTCCGTTGGAGCCTATTTTGGCACTATAAAAAGGGGTGTTTGGGTCTGCTTTTCTCACCAATTCACTTCACAACATTCATACTTTCATTGCATTCAAATATCATCATTTTCCATAGCTTTCTAGAGCCATTTTGTGAGGAGGTTGAGTTGTTCTTGAGCGTACTTAGTTTACTCATAATCTACTCTATAAGAGAGCCTCGTTCTCGAGTGTATTCGTGTTCTTAGACACTTTGAGAGAAAGTATTTCTCTCGGTAGATTCAAAGGAAGGGCTGTTTCCTTTGAAGGACTCGTTGAGGTTCGTGTAACTCGAACTCTCAAGTTGTAACGGTTTGTTAAGCACCCGCAAGCTTAACGAGATAATAGTGTAGCTCGAGAGAGTCTCTCGGGAGGCTGGATTAGCCACAAGTTGTGGTGAACCAGGGTAAAATTCGGTGTGCCTCTTACTCTTCTCTGTACTTCTCTTTTAATTTTTTAATTCCTGCGATTTCTTCGATCAAACGCTATTCACCCCCCCTCTAGCGTTGGTCTATTATTCTAACAATTTGTATCGGAGCCTAACTCGCGTCCAAACTTAATCGTTTGAGAGTAAAGCGATCATGGGTTCTTCTTCTAGAAATCTTTATGTAGGAATTGGAGAAGGTCAATCAACCTCTAGGCCACCGCTTTTTGATGGCACCAACTACACATATTGGAAAGAACGGATGAGAATTTATATCCGCTCAACCAAATTCCAGTTGTGGTTGGTCATAAAAAACGGCGAAGAAACGCCAATGAAGAAGGTCGATGAAAAACTCGTCCCAAAGACCGAAGATGAATTTGATGACGAAGACATCAAAAAGGTGGAGAACTACGCCAAGGCAATCAACATGCTGTACTGTGCGGTCAATCCTGATGATTATCGCAAGATCTCTTGCTGCACCACTGCAAAAGAAATGTGGGACAAGCTGGAAGTCACATATGAAGGTACTGACCAAGTTCGGGAAGCCAAAATTGACTTCCTAACGCAGGAGTACGAGATGTTCAGGATGAAGGAAGGCGAAAAGATCGATGACATGTTCGATCGGTTCTCAAAGATCATCAACGACCTTCACGCTCTCAAGAAGACGTATGCCAACAAGGACCTTGTGAGGAAAATCCTGCGGAGTCTCACACCCGAATGGAGATCAAAGGCTGACGCAATCTACGAATCCATCGGAGTCTCCAATGTCACCATCGACTGGCTAAGAGGTAACCTCAAAACTTATGAATCTACTATTCTAACTCCGTCTTTGGATGAACAAAAGAAGAAGGGAATAGCACTGAAAGCAACCAAGGAGACCGCTGAAGAAGACTCAAGCGATGATGACAACGAGTTCGGACTTGTCATCAAGAAATTCCACAAATTTATGAAGAAGGAATCTGAGCGCAAAGGAAGAAAGCACGACGGTCCCCCGAAGTGCTATGGCTGTGGTGAGATAGGCCACATCAAGCCGAGGTGTCCAAAAGGCAAAAGCGGCAAGGACAAACCTGGCTTCAAAAAGCAACGCGCCTACATCTCATGGGGTGGCGACTCCGGGGATGAGTCAACGGATCAAGAAGAGGAAGAAGCCGCCAACCTCTGTCTCATGGCACACGAAGACCACGTCAACGAAGTACAAGAGGTATGTACCCCTTCTTCCGACTCCTACACTTTTGAAGAAATGCAAGAAGCTCTTCGAGAGCTTTATGATGAATTTGTTAGCGCTTCTAAAACCAACAAATCATTAAAGAAACGTATTTCAACTCTTGAAAATGATTTTGAAAAACTGGAAAAAGATAATGAAAAGTTGAAACAAGAAAATAAATTTTATGGTAAAAGAAGTGCTGACAAACCGGAAAGCTCTTCAAATAAATGTGAATCTTGCAAAGCTTTAAAAGAAAAAGTTGCAAAACTTGAGAGTACGGTTAAGAAGTTTAATACACCACACAAGGATCTCAATTTACTTCTAGACACTATACATTTTTCTAAGGAAGGAATAGGTTTTAATAAAAATGAATCTAAGGATAAAAACGTTGAGCATACACCTAGACAACCTACTAAGGCTCAACACAAGAAAGTTAAAAATCAGGATAAAAGAAAATCTAGTCAACCTAAGGACACTAGACAACCTAGGCAAAAACCTAGGAATGAAAATGTGCATGCTAGGCAACCTAAGAAAAATTATCAAAATGATTTTGTGCATAAAAATAATTTTTCAAATAGACAAAATAATGCTAGGACACCTAGAAGAGAGAATTTTCAAAAACCAATATTTTCTCAGAATAGGATGAATATAGTTAGGCCCCCTAGCAACTATTATCAACCCAGGAGGATGCACAACCCAAACGTAGTTTGTCACTATTGCAATAGGGTAGGACATATAGCTCCCGTTTGCTTTACTAGGCATAGGCATTGGGAACAAAATGAATCACACTACCACTTTGCACCTAACACTCAAGGACCCAAAAAGACTTGGGTACCTAAATCTTATTAAATCATTTTTGTAGGTGTGCTTGAAGGCGTCAAGTGTACTTTGGTACCTTGATAGCGGATGCTCCAAGCACATGACTGGAGATGCATCCAAGTTCCTACAAATCAAACCCGCTAAAGGAGGAAACGTAGTCTTTGGAGATAATAGCAAGGGAAAAATTAT